GCTTAGGATCATCTAGGTGCCGCCGGTAGTTTTCTTTTAACCACCGAATCTTTCAATTTCCTCGAAATTTGCCCACCATCAGGGCCCGTCTTCGAAGAGGACGGGAATGAAGCACCGTTTAAAGTGGAATCTCCCTTAACCGGATCCTCCTTTGCTAAAGACGCGTGCTTAGGGATGCGACAGCCTCGAAACGGACTATGCTCATTCTTCTTTTTACCAGCCAGGGTTTTGCTAATTCTTTGCTCAATTTTGCTGGGCCTCTTATCCAAGAATCTGGGCCCACCTTGTGGCCCATATTTCTTTGTCTGGTGGGCCTCAACCACAAACTTCTTAAGAGGGGAAATAATTTCTTTAGCATCTAAAGTGGTTTTTAAGCCCAAAGAAGAGCCCATCTGGGCTTTATGCAACTCGAGCCCAATCCCCGAGGGCCGAACCTCCCGCTTCATCTATGTCCTCCCATGGGCTTCAATCCTCAGAGCTGGGTCTATGCAGATGAGATCCACTTCATGGGCTTGTGCCGAAGGGAGCCCAATAGATTTAGGCCCAGTGCTAGAAATGTTCTCCACTACCATCGGGATCTCCTTGTCCCTCGGAAGCGCGAACCAGAAATTCGCTGGCCCGTCGAGACCTCTGTTCGCCGGAGCTGTCCCTCCTCCGCCTTCTGAGCCACCACCACCGAACGAAGCTTTGGCATCTTTGCCCCTTGCCTATTCCGACCAGAGTCCTCCCCGACTTTCTCCAATGGAGCCGTAGTATGCTCCCGATTCGCAGAGGTTGTGCAATTTCCCCCTGTGGAGCTTTCCTTCCTCTACGATCTCCACCATCTTCCCGTCGCCGGATAGGTTCACGTTGGCTGTCTCGGTGACTCTGATGCGTCCCTACCCAAGTTGGGCAAGTCCTAGTGTCATGACTCATCCGGAAACACACCTTACAATGGTTCTGCAGCTTGACATAGTCGAAGCGGATTCGGAAAAGCTCTTCGGTCTCCGATACTATCTCCCAAAACAGGATTAGCGGTGCATCGCATTCCACCATCACTTGGATCATTGGATACGGCTCCATCACCTTCCAATTGAGAAGCTCCCCAAGATCTTCTCCAATCCTCACCAATTGCTTCTCTTCATTGTAAATCTCTGGCAGATCCAGGATTCGGATCCAGAATGGGATGGAAGATGGAAAATCCATTCGCACTGTTGGCACCCATCTTTCGATAGCATTCATCCACCCATCGAAGTGATAAGGGCGATTATCCAGTACTGCTTGGAGATCTGCTTCCTCCTTGAAGCGGAAGTGAAATCTTCCTCTCCCCATTTCAACTCCCTGAACCCGGCCCTCGCATTTCCAGATCGTTGGTAAGAATCCGATCACTGCTTTGACCTTGTTCTCTTGTGCCTCGAGATTCAGGACTCTTCCCACCAGGGTCTTCTCAAATCGCTGTAAAATCTGTGTATTGTTGACCGGAAGGAGTTGCAATGGCTTTGATCGCTTCTTCTCTTGATCGGGAGCAACGAGTTTCCCAAAAAACGCCATGTTTGTTTGCACCGAATTGAACAAAAACTTTTGTGCGTCTTTGCAGGGGAGGAGAAACACGAGTTGTAGAAGAACCAAACCAATGCTTTGGATCTGGTTAAATAACACAGGTTGCAACCACAACATCCCTCCGAATCCGCTCATCAACATGATTGGGGATTGAGTAAATCCAAAGATCCAATTGATTCCCCTAATTAAGCCCCTAACTGATCCGAGATTGGCATCAATTAAATTGGATCTCATCTCCCTGTGATTTCTTTTTGGACCGGGAAATCTCCTTTCCATAATTGGACCTTGAGAGATCTCACCATTACAACAGAAATTCTTGGTGAAATCGATCGTGAAAGACAGTGCATAAAATTTCTCGACATTGTTCGATGAATCCGGATCGAATTGACCCCGCACCGAATACTTGACTACAAGCTCGTCGTAACTGTCGACGGAAATGATGAACGCAGCACCTAGCGAGAGATGCTCAGAAGATGATTTAGGGTTTTATAAATTAAAGTGACTACATATAAGGAAGGGAGAGACAATATTTTCCATAGGG